GAGAGACTCGCCGCGTCTGTTGTTATTTACTGAAAATTAATTTAGCTCCAATCAACTATCTGAACAATTCGTTAAAATTCAGAGTTAAATTTTCGATAAGGTAAAATTTTTCTCTAAACTAGAAAGTAAGCGCATTTATCGCGCGGCTTAGTTCGTTGAATTTATTAAAGTATTTTCAAGAAAATCCGGAGAGAAAACAAGAACATAAAACGCCACGTGATATAAGTTCATCGATTGCCACTCCGCCATCCTCTGGTGATATCTGACCACCCGTAACGAGCGTAGATGTTATGTAAATGCTGCTTTATTGGTTCCTTGTATCGATTATATGGAAATGTATTCACGTAATACAAAAATACACACTCTCCGCTTCTGCACTTTCGAAGTGGCGATACATTCGCGAAAGCAAACGGAGAAAGATTAATTTTCATTGTCCTCCACAGTATTTCAAGCTGCTCGGAGTAAAAAAGGAACAATATCAAGTTCTGAAACTGTATACTTAGTGAAAAAGTGCACGCAATAAGATACATCTGCGGTAAGAAATGAATTGGCAGACAAAATGCAAGCGTAATCCACAAGGGTTTAAATGATACTTTCGTTATATTGTACGCCATGAGTTCCGAGCTTTCAGGGAATCTATTACACCGTCGCGGCAATATTATATCGCCATAAAATCGGTGAATTTACGCCGATACAATTTTATATGGCTTTTAACCGAGCCGCGTTATTCTCACGGCCAAGGAAATGCGAAACCGAAGGAGCTCGATGATTAATCGATATCGTGCGTGTTGTAAACGACCTTCTCCTATTGCCGCGAGAATATTCAGGCGGTCGTGTAGACGGCGGTTTACAAGCGCAACATCGAAGAAGAATGACGTGGATTATCGGGAAGGGATGACGTATTTATGACGCGCGCAAAACGAGAACATTTCTTCAAAATTAATGAAAGTAAGAAGAGAATTAAATAAGCACAATAATCAAATCTAGTTCAGTTTTAACTGGTTGTAAAAGATGAACTTTTTATCGATAAAATTGTGTGACAAATTTCTGACGACACGCGGAATTCAGTGCATGATAAAGTGGTGAAGAAATCTCTCTGCGTGTTTCACACGTGTTATTCTCAACCATATGTTTACGAACAATTCCATGCTTCAGCATTTTTTATTATTCAGATTTATTCTCCCAAGAGAAGCCGTATATTCTACTCAAACGTATACAACGAGAAATTGAAGACGTCTGCAACCTGAGCGAAATCCCTCTTTATGCGAGTAGCGATACTTTTATGCCTTAAAAAAAAAACCTTTTTAAAGAATAAAGATGAATGCGAGTTTTTTTTTTCAACGAGCCACAAGAAATTTATGTAGAAAGATGTACTACGGAAAGACGCACGCTGCAGTGCACGCTATCGCACACCTAACGTCGTGTATTCTGAAACAAGCAAAATGGAGCGAAAACTGCATTCGTGTTACACAAGTCACTTCAGAGCGTCACTAAGTCTTTCACTGGCGATTGCCGATAATTATTGACTTGAAATTGAACATCAGTTGGACAAAGCGTACGTGCGTGATTTGCAAAAGGGGAAGAAATGTCAGATCTCTCGTTAACGGAGATGAACTTTCGTCAGATGTGTCTATCGTGATAGCTGATGTCAGAATTCGCGAACAACGGAGAGTCATCGGGCCAGAAATTATCCGAAAATGTGCCAACGCATCACACGACGGAACATTAACATCCTCCATCGTGGATCTCGCACGCGCGAAAATGAAAATCATGTGGTTACATCATGGAATTTTGACATCCCCGTAATGGTTATTTTCGTCTGACGAAAATGGAGCCCGTAATATCTGCTGTAATTTACCATATGCATCAGGTCTCCTTTGATTTATTATTGCGCACAAACGCTAAAGCTAATAGAAAATTTTAGACGAGATTTATACAACGAAAGAGAAAACGTACTCTTCCGCCGAATGAAAATACCATTCCGTAAAAGCGATAGTCGGATAAAACTTTTGTGTATTTTATGGATGGATGTGAATTTCAGCTTTAAGAAGACATATATACGTCAATCGGAAATATACACGTGCTGCGCGATTTTAGAGCGATATTATTTTAAAAAAATCATTCACAACCGCTCCGCGTCGAGTCTTTAATTGACTCTTGAACATCGCTCTCCGTAATGAACAGTGCCGGCAAAACGAAACGACAGTGATGCAGAACTCGTGTGCGATTTATGGAACACAACGGTATGAAATAAAACGTTCGCGGGCCCGGAGAGGTGTAAAACGGAACGGATCAAAATAAAATGCAGCGGTGTGGCGCGGCGCGATAAATTCGACGGGGCGCGTGGGTGTATGCAGGTTGTGTGTGGCAAATCGGGAAAAGACGAAAAATTTACCGAGCATTCGGATAATGGCTTTTCGTGACTGAGTCTGCCTCGTTTCCCCGTGAACGGAGCCCTCGATGCTGCAGTCCAGACCGTTGCTTTGTATTCGCAGGCCCATTTTCACGTAAAGCACGGCTATGCACAGCATCGGCACGAGGAAGAACATTAGACAGCTCAGCTCGATAAGCGGGAACTTGGGCATATTACCCAGTAACATGGCGCATATTGCCGACTCCTCGGAGTATTGGCCGGATTCTGCAAATAAATGAGGGAAACACTTCTTGCTTTTTTAATTTCCAACATCAGAGGTCGTATATAAATCTTACGAAGGGTAACAGTAAGTTAAGCCGAATAATTTCTATAATTAAACCAGTTGTAAAAACTTTTATAATTTTTATATTTTCAAGTTCTATAATTTGTAATATTTATTCAGAAAAGGATTCTTATTTTTGACCAAGAAAATTTTACTGCTGTTAAATTTGGCTATATTTTATTCATTTTTTTAAATACTGTAAATAATTCAAGACACCGTTTAGCAAAGAATATTCGGATATATTTAGATAATTGATTTAATAATATTGTCATTTGCTATATTAATTACTGACGATATTAAGAGAGATATATTAAAGAATTCAGGAAGAGATTCTTCTAGAAAATTATAAAATCTTAGTTTTCGAAATAATATTCATGAATTACATTATATTTGCAGCTATTTAAACGGAAAGTTCATAAAGCATGTAGTTTTTAAATGAATGGAGAATATACGGAGAAAATTTTATATCAAAAATTATTATGTACGACAGTAGCCGTGGATCATGAAGAAATTATATAAATTTTTAATATGATTTTTACATAACGATCATAGCATTTAAACTTATATTTTCTCTTATGATCCTCGGTTGCTATCATATTATAGCAGTGTTTGATATAAAATTTTCTGTGTAAAGTAAAAAAGTTTTAATTAAACAAGCGATAAAAAGTTGTTAATTACATAACTAGCTAAAAAATTATTAAATGTTTTTTAATCCAATAAATTTTTGAGAATGTGTATTCTGGTTTTATTAATCAATCAAATATTCTAAAATAAATAAATTCCCGCGTGATTGGAATTTTGTTATAATCTTTCAACTGCATATTGCAGCAGTCAGATTAAAAGGTTTTAAATCCCATCAGTGTGAAAGTGTTATAACATGTTCTGACTAATCAATTCGCAATTGGATAACCACTTGTCCGTAAATGTAAAATATATTTAAATAATTTCAGCGGAATTTCATTCAACGTGCAGTTCGGAACAAAAATCCACACGATTACGTAGATAGTACGCAAAGATAAAAAAGTTGTTCTTGTAATTAAATTTTCATGAAATATTGAAATGTCAGATTTAAATATGGATTTTAATTTAATTTAAATATTTTTGTACAGTGCGCTTTGAATTATTTGGTGACAAAAGTTTTAATCATCTCGCTTTATTAAAAGAATACAAAATTAATTGCTTTTTATTCCGTTTTCTATATTACATCATGTAATTATCGTCGAGTTACATGAAATATAAAATGTGACATTAATATAATCGCGCCACAAGATATGGGTAACAACACTCGTTAGAGACACCATTAGAATTATGAATCGCTATAATTTAAGGTGATGTATTTTACATTAGCAAAATTTACGATGAAGATCAGATTTTATACAGCGATGTCTAACGCGCACTTGCCAAATCCTGTTGTCGCTGTAATTCGTTTTCCGCGCAATTTAAGTAAGAATATACGCTAAATATCTCCGGAGCGAAATTTATGGGAGTATATTTTATTTTGCATTATTACGTGTATAGCTATTGCTTTATTTATTTATTTTTTTTAACAGTGCTAACACCAATCTCGCAATTACAAAATCATAAATTAAGACAGCGATGCATATTTATTGAATTCAATTGGACAAATTATATATCCGTTAACGCAAAAGTGGCATAAATAGCAAAATTCTCAGCGTTTGTATCCGAGATTAATGTATTTCTCGCTATTCTCAGATTTGTGTATTTTCAGTGGCTGGGTGAATTTTTCTCGTGAACTGACACGCAGCTTTTCAGTAACTGCGATTATCGCAGATCAATGTGATCCCTCGTGACAACAAACATTGATTCCCGTCGTGCAAAGCTCCTCTTTGTGCGATATAATTGCAGTTGCACGCACGCTTAGTATTGTCGTCATACACAGCGCCGGTTTCTCATTGAATTTCTGAATGACAACCGCGCTTGATATTATCATAGAGCTGCATATGACATGTCTGAGAGCTTTTGTTTCGCAAAATAAATATCTGTCAATTTTTGTTCTTTGATTCGCCTTCTTTGTGAAGCGCAAAGTAGATAGAAAAATGTCTTAGCATATTTTATATTTTTCATATCTGCAAGAAATTAAATTTTATTAAATTATAATTGTAATATTCAAATATAATATTTAAATTATAATTATTGTAATTTTTTAAAAAGCAGATTATAATAAAATAATACGTTAATAAATAGCGCGCAGTAGAAATTAAATTAAATTTATTTATGCAGAATTAAGTACACGCGCGGATGTCTATTTAATTTGACTTAATTTTTATTTCTATTTATTTTATTTCCGTCAAATAACATATTATTGCTATAAATAGTATTTTCATAGTCTTTTCTTATAAGCACATCTTTTACAATGTATTTGATTTATTTTTTTTACATTCAATGAGTCTATTAAAACAAGGAAGCTGTTATTGATTAATGATTTAATCTCATTGTATCGGAACAATTCAGGGAAAATGGAGAGCCGGTGAAAAATTTGTTGTTTAATTGCAAAGAGGAGCTCTTGCTTGAAATGCGTTTACTCGCCGATAACACGCGAATACTCGCCACGGGTAAATAGATCAACCATAATTACATGCAGATCGCAAGCGTCCTGCATTCATGCATTTGTGTGCCTTGTCCTCAAATAATCTCTTTACTAACGTAATCATTATTGACTTGTATTTAAAAAAAAAGGTAACAAAAATGATAAATTCATCTTTATAAACTCACTGATTCAGTTATTAAGCCACGTAAAAATTATCACAAATTTTCCAGATGCTTGTGTCGCATATCGCGCATTTATATCTGTCGTGATGAAAAAACTCGTAAAAACCTTTAATTATGCATTTATATCGTTAATCACGAGCACTTGACTGAATAAATTGGCTGCTAACACAAGAGACACTCACTTGGCGGAAACTCGATGTAATTGACGGTTGTGTAAACGCCGTAGGGTAGGGCAAAGATGAGAGCTAGCACCCAACAGCCCACGATGAATCGTACAGGTCGTTTCAGTCCGCTCATCGCATACAAATGCAGGGGATGGCATATCGCTAGGTACCTCTCCAACGAGAACACCAGTATCGTTAGCACCGACACGTAAGACGACCTTGAATGAACACGAATTAATTTTGCCACGCGATTACGCGAAAAAAAATCACGAGGCATCTTAAAGTCAGGCATTTTAAAAAAAGATTATTGACATTAAAATGCGTAACAAATATATTTTGTATAATATACAAAATATATTTGTTACGCGTGACGCACGATTGTATCTCTTTAAATTGTGATCTTTCTTTTATTATTATATCTGTCTTTTTTTTTTAGTAAAAAAATACAGTAGGGAAAACGTAAAAAGCTTTCTGAAGGAAAAGATCGTCTTATGTTCTTCATATACATAATTACATAAAGATCTCGTTACATTTTTCGTTCAAGTATCTCTCATGGAAGATCTTGCCACGTCAGCTGAATGCTAAATAATAGAATGCATTCTTGGCAACTACTATTACTAAGAGCTTTAAAACTTCATGTTGTATGCTAATTTATTCTACGGCCACTTTAAGCGCATGCATTCCTTTTGCAAATCCTCTACGTACTTCTGAACTTAATCACCAGCAATGCAATTCTATGAATTAACGAAACTTGCCCATGTATTTTCGGCTTGATTACACATGCTTTCTTGTTCACTGCTTGCGCAATTTGCGCGCAATAAATACAACATAAAAAGTCACTAATTGCGCAACACTAGAAATTACAATTAAAAAATTTTAATTAAACTACTTTTTCGTTTGCTTTAATTAGTAACATTTTTATTAGTTAAACTTACGTTTCTGAAATATACGCTCGTAATTTGCACAAGCCCATTCCGAACGTCCATGGATATTGCTGCCAGAACACACTCAATTCATTGGGTAATCCTGGAAGCAGAAAAATATCAATTTTCGCACACAAGCCTACAAATTAAAATAACAGATTAATGGATTAGCATTAAGAAGGATTTAGTTATTTAGTGCTTAATTTTTATTTGTTAGTTTTACATCATTATTTTGTAAAAAAATTTGGCGAGAGTTATATTTCTAAAAAAAAGTTAAAACTACAAGAAAAAAAACCAACGAAATAATTAATTGCACAATATTTGACGCTGCACTTTTTATGCACTTCTCTTTGTGGATGTGCGCTAATTATCCTTGCCAGGATACAAAGGAAATGTCCGCAAGTTCCAAACAGAAAAACACCAAGCGAGATAGGAGCAAAGCTTCAGACTTTAATAATATTAGGTTTTTTTTTCTTTAAAATTTCTTTAAAAACTTGTGCACAGATATAATTATAAATTATCAGAATGAATCGCGTAAATGATGTAATGATGTGCGAACTAAGCCAATCAGAGATCCAATCGTTGTAATGTAATTTATAAGTTGTTTGTGCAAACAACTTTTTACGATCGATTACTAATTATAAGGCAATAAAATCAAAATTGGCGTCACAATTTACGCTTCGGAGAATCCGTTACAAATCAGTTTTTGTTGTGGAAATTTATGGCCATCCTAACTTGAATTTCTTCGACGTAAAAGAAGTTTCTGAAACTTTCTTTCCGAGAGTTTCCGCAATACTCGTCGCTGTCTCTGTAACAGATTTATAATGACATAGCAGTCGTCAAAAATCTCATAGAATGAAATGAGCGAATTTATTTGACTGTGTATGTCTTTTTTTTTATGTACACAAAAAAAGATTGGGACATTATGACAGGTGTTTTGCGCTTACAATTCTTTTGCGCGATAGCAACTAAACAAGAGACTTTAATATTAATTCTGTTTACAAACGGTGCAGCGATTGCCTGTCATTGTAAATTATTTCATAACCCGCTACGCGTTATTTGCGCCTGGCAATACAACGCAAATGCTTCTTATATTTTTTTTATCACAAAACGCACCTAAGTCACGTTTTTTATATTAGATCGCTGCGTATGAAATGTCGAAACGAAATTAAAAGTAGACATTTTCTGAAATTTAATCATTGTATTAAAAAATGCGAAACTTTTTTAGAAATATAAATTCGATTTTTGGCGAAATTTAGGAAATTCGTGTAACATTATTTTACAGTCGTATATAATATTATACAAGCAGTTTAAAATAAAAATTTTATTACTTATAAAAATGAATAAAATTAGATATTGCGCGAAATTTTACATATATATTCCATATTTAATCCTTTTTTAAAATTACTTTGCGGAACTCTTTCTGCGCGTTTCCGTTAATATTCGTCTCTATTTCTGTAATAGATTTTTAAAGGCATAGCAGCCGTCAAAAGTCTCATTATCAAAATGGAACAAACGAA